CTCTCTCTCTCTCTCTCTCTCTTTCTCGAACGAACGAACGAACGAATACTTAATAAAGCGTTTATAAAAAGAGTTAAAATGACTCGTTATCGCGACCAGTGCTAGTAACAACGAGAATGTGAAAAACTTGCAGTTTCGAAATTTTTCGAAAACCGAACAAATCTGGGACTCGGGAAGGGAAAGAAACAGTCGCGGGTATTCCCGACGGGTTTTACGCGTATGGAAGCAGCCCGGTGATGTATACACAAAAGCGTAAAGTGTACGGCGCGACACGGAGAGAGGCAGGAAAAAGGGAAACGGCTGGAGGAGAAAACATCTTTGTCGGGTTTGCCAGTTGGCAGACAGCTTTTAATATATTTGACAAAGTTCGAGCTTTCAAGAACGCGAACGCGACCAAGCAGCCTCGTAAATCCTTGCCTCTTAGCGATATGCGCGAGTAAGCTTCTACGCCTACGGGCTAGCTGTGGCTCACCTTCGCGGATAAGTCTTCGTTTTGCAAAGTTTCTCTCTCGCGATCGCGGTCGGATACATTTTTACGAGCTCGCCCGAGAGACGGTCCATTATTCGTGTTCTTTCGCGGCTTAACACGACGAGCTAACGCTGAAGGGCTGCTGCCCCTACTCTCCGCTTCGCATTAGTAACTTCACAATCAAGAAAAATTACCAAGTAGCCGAAGTCTCTTTTCACTTTTTTCCCTTCCTGCCCCTTCCCGTTCCTCTTTCCTTTAGTTAAAGGGAACGATTCGAGTTTCCTGGATTACCGTCGATGACGTGATAATGTCAAACCCCAGCGGACACCATTATTTCAATGTTTGCTCCTGGAGTGGGAAGAAGCCTGGGATCTAGTGGAAGACCTCAATAATGGGAGTCCTATTACTGTTCGAGGTCAGAGTTGGGGGCTACGTTGCCGCTTGGAAACGGCTGGAACAGGTCTGAACCTTCTAAAGTAGGCTCTGACATTATTATTGGATGTCTGGTTTTGACATTTGTACGCGGTGCATCGAGCACACTGTATCTCGGAAATCTGCCCGGAAAGCTTCTCCGCTGGTCATTTTTTAGTATTCAACTGGTTTCAACGTTGTAGAACGTTGTTTCCACGTTGCAAATGTGTTCGAAAAGTCAAACGATCGAGAAACAAACACGAGCAAAAGACAATGGAACCGTGGTATAGTTGCTCAACTGTTCCTACAAAACAGCCCCTGCAGTGTGATTTAATGGCGGAAATCAGCCACGCTGAAGAGATACGTGTTCATTACAACTTCCTGCATTCGGGAAAACAA